TCTGAAACTATTGTTGCTTTAGGTTTGTTAAAGACTACATCCCATTCTTTCATAACATAACATTCTGGGGCAGAGTCGACATAAATGACTAAACGTTTCAAATTCTCGACTGCTTTGTTATAGTCTCGAAATGGACACATATTTCTGAATGCTTGGAAGTCATAAAAATCTGAAACATCTATTCTGTACATTTTTATAAAAATAAAAAAAATATTTTTTTTTATTCTTGACTTTGTTGTTGCATTTGTTGCATTTGTTGTTCTTGAGCTATTTGTTGTTGAAGTTGTTCTTGTAATACAATACTTTCACCAGTTGCATCTTCCAATTCGAAACTTTCTGCCGTCATTGACAAATACATAGGACATAAAAGTTTTACAGGAACAAAGTTTGCGTCAACTAATGTCAACGTTATACTTGCCAAAGTGTTTGAGTTCACTAAGGTTGAAAATTCTGCATTCGAATGAACAATAGGCAAACCAGCAGAGAAAGTATTGTTTATACGCATAAGTATCTTTTGGTCATAATAGTTTCTGTCGACATTCGAATAACACTTTGAACCTAAGTTTGAAACAATATATAAGATTGGTGTGCTTAATGTCAATGGAATAGACATTCCTTGTATGACACCTTTTCCTGTTATAGGAAACTGTTGGTAGTAAAAACCAGAAATAAGTTTTGTATTATAGCTCATATCGTTTATAGTAAACTCAGTCGGACATCCAAACATAATGAAACCTGCTCTAGTTGCAGCACATGTTACACCCGTACTTAAAGTATTAAATAAGTCAACAAAACCTGTTGGTGGTATATCTGAGTAAGTATCTTCAAAGGAGTATTTTTTACCATTCACAACAATAAAGTCTTCTGGTGTCAAAAGAGCAAAACAGGCTTTAGTCGTCATTGTGTTTAAAGTTAGTTTACAATATCGTCCTTGAGGACTTTGTAAGTTTGTTGTTATAGAATTATATGACTCAGGGTTTTTAGTCGTAATAGTATAAACCATTATGTCTTCTGCCATTTATATATATTTAAAAGTTTTTCTGAAAGTGGAGAAGAACTTCATCTAAACTTTCACATGGCGTTTCTTGAAGTTCTCTGTCTAAGAAGTTCAAATATTTTGTAAAGACATAGAACTTTCCTTTGTCTACACGAACAAACAAAACAGGGTCTTTCATATCGTTCAAAAGTGTGTAAAGTCCTTTACATGAAATAAAGTCTATATTATTTTTCTTCAAACATCTTTCAAGAAGTTTTGACATTTTTACTTAGCAAATAAATTTTAATGAAATGTTGTGGTCGTCAAATATTTTTATGACGTCTGGGAAACTATACTTTAAGTTCAACGTTTCACCTCCTTTCATAACGTATATCTTGTCAATGACATTATATGAAACACCACAGCAACTAATGTCGGGTTCTATTTCTTTGATGTTTATATCGTCTGCCTCTGTCAAAAGTTTCAATAGTTCTTTCAAAACTTCATGAGGTGCAATGACATATGAGTTCACTTTTACAGGGTTGTGTTCGACCAAGTTTAACATTATACTAAAGCTTGACAAATCTTCTCCTGAGTTTGAAGTTTGTCTTTCAGTTGTTGGTAGTCGTTTCGAATATCTGCAACAGAACTTAAGTCTCTGCTAACTTCAGGATATGTTGGTTGTTCTTTTACAGGAACAATTGTTATACCATCTTCGTCTTCGTATGGTTTCCCCACTTCAACATCTCTGTCTTTGACATTGACAACAACACTTTGACTGTTTGTTTGAGTTGGTGAATTTAACTTCACATCTGCCACCGCCATTAAACCTTTTGAAACACTCACGCTTCTATTTTTCGGAAATGACATTTTACTTAGAATAAAAAGATGGACGTATTCGAGTATCTCTTCGAATTGAAGCAGAACAAAGTTTACACACACAAACAATACAAATACATTGACAGAATAGTTCTTTATACAAACAATGGAAAATGTTATAGAATAGCAGTCTTTGCTGAACCAAAATATTTTCATAAAGCAAAGAAAGTTGGTATAACTGAAATGGTGAAAGTTCTTGAAGCAGACAAAAATATAACAACAAAACTTACAGATATTTCTAAAGGTAAGTTTATTACAATATTATGTCAAAACTGGCGTACTGTCAATATTTGACGGAGAGAAGTCAGTTCAAGAACAACTTACTGACCTGCTGCCAAAATCTGCTCGATGGAAGCTGTCGTTATGCCAATCTGAGGAGCCCCAGCAGGTTTCATCGAACGAATCTTCAAAAGAGCATCTTCCGTGAAAAGTGCTATTGGTTTTGTAAACTTCTTTGCTCTCAGTTCATCTGGACCGTCTCTGTCACCAGTATATTGTATTTGTACAGTACCAACAGTTGAAATACCACCCATAAAGTCTTCTGAGTCAGCAAATGGAATGCCAAGCCAAAAGTTTGAACGGTCTCCATTTGTATATTGAGTTTTTTGACCTCCTGTATGAGTCCATACTTTCACATATGGCATAATAGAACTTTGCATTTCAGGGTTAATGGTTGTTGTGAAGTTGTTGTTAAAGTTCATAGCATCTAATGTCAAGTTGTATGACCTCATATCCTCAACTGTAGAATATTCTTCTCTTGGATAATATTTGCCATCTATGTTTATATGATATTTAATACCGGGGTTGTAGAAACAAGAATAGTCATTTATAGTTCGTCTGAACAGTACAAACATAGTATCTGCATGTTTCATTGCAGTTGTTAAAGCAATATCTGTTCTTGCACCTGGGTCAGCACTTTGGTTTCCAACTTCACCTGCAAAGTCTTTGACAGATATTTGGTGTATAGGGAACATAAGTGGAACTGCAATATATTTGGCAGCTAAAGCATTTGAAATATCTGGGTCCAACATATAGACTGCAAGTCTGCTTTCTATTCTCTTGCATTCAAATTTTTCGCATGTGAACTTAACTGGGTCCCAAGCAGTTCCAGCAGCATTGAAATAATAGTTTACTTCATTGTTGAAGTTTGAGAAACCAAAGTCTAAGTCAACTTTGTCTTTGCAAAATTCGGCGAATGACGTTTGATTTGTTCCCTTTACGTCTGTAATAGTGAATGGGTCTTGTGTTGGTGCAATGACTAAGTTATTTTTGCTTGGAGTAAGTTCGATAGAAATTTTTCCTGCCCAGTTTGGCAAGTATCTTAAAAACCTGAAGATGAGGAAAGATGACAAAGGAACTCTAAGTTTCAGTTTTACTTTGGTTACTGCTGCTGCAGTTTGTCCAGAAAGGTTAACATAAACTCCTGGAACGTTAGGGTCAAGTCTTCTTATTTTCTCAATATTTGCATACTGGTCTGTTTGTTCTCTAGCTTGTGGTTGTACTGAGTTTCTCAAAGCGAACCATTCATAGTTTGCCCATGTTACTGTTTGAACTAAGTCAGAGTTAGAATATATCTTATATCCCATGAAAACTTCTGGAGCATATTGGTATCCGACATAGAAAATTCCATTGCAACCTTTCTTGTCAGAAAACTTGGCAGAAGGTTTTATTTCAATGTCTTGTTCCACGTATAAGAATGAGTTGTCAATAGAAATAATATGAAACCTGTCGCAAGCAATATCTACTGTTGTTGAAGAACCTTCTCCAAACTCACCTACGTTTCCATAAGAAACAGCAGTTGTATATTCGTAAGTTCCAGGAACTATTTCTGACCTTCTAATGGCATTGTCGCATTCGTTATACCATTCGGAAACATTTCCGTTCATGGCATCCAAAACTGTTGGCGTTATATTCTGAGCGGCGTACATTTCATATGGGTAAAAATATAGAATAGTTGGATTTATGTGTCATAATAGAACCCACTCGGACCAAGCTTTACTTTCTTCCTGACTGAGTTTTTAACTCTTCTTTTTCCTTCATTGCCACTACTTTCACTAGATGAAGTTACTTCTTCACTACTTTCACTTTGTTCTACTCTTCTTCTTTGGTGTCGCTTTTGGTAACTTGCCCTCTGCTTCAAGTTGTTGCATCTTTGCCTCATGTTCACCTAGTATGTTGTAAATTTCCCATGTCCTTTTTGCCTTTGGGCTCTGGTCGCCCATCTCAGGTAACCTATATCCTAGAAAGATTTTGTCATAGTTTGTATTTGAGTCGTCGCTTATTGTTTGCATGACTCTTTCCTGAGTTTCCGGTTCAAGCTCTTCAAACAGAGCTTGTCCATATGGAATAAGCTCGTTTCCAAATATATGTTTTTGTAGCCATTCTGGTTTTCTTTCCATGTTACCAATAATATCTTTTGTGAATGGGAAAGCTTTTACCCAATGTTTCAGTCTTGCGTCATTTATTTCTGTAGTTGGTTTTATTTTGTCAAGGAACATGTTTTTCAATACTAACATTTCATTTGGTACTGTCCATTTGAGTTTTCTTAAATATTCATCCTTCTCAGTTCATTGTCTGCAAAGTAAGTTTTTATGACATTTTGTAAACTTTCGTTTGCAAGGTCATGTACAATAGGTTCTCTTCCTTCTATCTCCCTAACTTTCTTTCTAAACTCTTCACCAAATATACCATCTCTATGGTTCTGTGTAGTTCTTTGAGATAAATGTTCTAGAACGTCAGGTGTTATATTTCCATCAGCCATGTTCATTTCATACTGGTCCAAAATATCTGCATCTTTCATATCTTTCAATGGCATTAAAGCCGCGCTGAAAATACCAGCTATATCTGGTTCACCATTCACTTCCATTGCGTCTACAACTTCTTGGAATTGTGGTTGTAAGTTTATGAACCACCTATCCGGATTAGCTTTATGACCCCATCTCATTGTAGTTCCATAGTCTGCAGAAACAAAAGTAGGTTTGTTTCCATATTGGTTAGGTTCTGAATGAACTTTAAACAATGTTTCATTTCTATATGTTTTGTTGAAATTTAACCTTTTATTTTCACCGAGTTCAGCCAAAGATTGAACGTTATATGGTCGTAAGTAAAAAGGATTGTTGTATTTGCGTACACTTTCTTTCAGTTCTTCCATTCTATGCTGAATATTTTCATCTGATGTTGGAGTCTTTTGTATGTCGGCGAACATTTTTCGATATTCTTCTACTATGTCAGCTGAATTTTTCTTAGACTCTTGGAAAGATTCCATATTCTCCGCATACACTTGTTGAGGGTCAAGATTTTTCGGCTGTTCCAAATCTTCATCTAGTTCTGTGAAGTTAGTTTCCAAAGGAGGGACTTGTTCGTTTCCTTCAGGCTCTTCTAGCTGTTGTTGCTGAACTATTTCTTCCATGTCTGGTTGTATCTGAACTTCTTCCTGTGGAGTTTCTTGTACCTCATCTGCTGGCATTTCATATATTCCGAGACCGTTTTTAACAAGTTCCCTATTTAAGCCATCCGCATTCATAACCCTTTCTTCTTTCGTTCCGTCTCTATTTTTTACGCGTTTCATGAAGATAGTTGAATTATCATTTATCTCTGACACCAAATATCTCGGAGTAAATTCATCCATGTCATTTGGATGATATGCTATTAAATCATATCCCTTAGCGAGCTTGTATTTTCCAGGTTTGAAATTATATCCCATTTGGTGCTGAACCATAAAGCTAAATAGGTTCGGGTCAGTATTTCCTTCCTTGAACTTTCTAATAGCTTCTTTATATCTGTCACTAAAGTCAAGAGTATCTGGGTAACCATAATTTTCCTTAAGCATTTTTAAGAATTCTTGGTTTCCTTGTTCTCTACTTCTTTTATGTCCTTGCTCTGTTTGTGGTTGTGGTGCTGGATTTTGAACTGTTGGTTGTGGTGCTGGATTTTGAACTGTTGGTTGTGGTGCTGGATTTTGAACTGTTGGTTGTGGTGCAGTGTTTTGAACTGTTGGTTGTGGTGTTGGTTGTTGTGCTGGATTTTGAACTGTTGGTTGTTGTGTTGGTTTTGGTGCATGCCTGTGTCTGTGTCCATGTGACGATGTAAATGTTTTAGGTAGTCCTGGTGCAGGTGCTTCTCTTGGAGGGTTTGGTGGTATATAAGTTCCACCAGCTGGCACATATGTTCCATCTGCAGCATAATGTCCTACCTGACTTTTCGTTTTTAAGAAAGCATTTACTAGGTCTGTTTTGGTCTGTTGTAACTCTTTTTCTTGACTTTCCACAACAGTTGCTCTAACGGCGTCATAGGCACTTTGAACTGCCTGTCTCGTTGCTGCATCTGTTATTTTCGTCATATTTTGTGCTACTTCTCTTAACTCGTTGTCGAAACCTTCAGACTTCAGTTTCTTTCCAGATGAGAAGTCGTTCACTAGTTTCACCTTACTATGAAGAGCTTCGAAGGCGTTCTTAAAGTCAGCATTCATTAAAGCTTCATTTGAACTGTCTTCATCCGCTTGTATTTTTGTCCTTATTGACCCTATAAGTTGGGCTGCTTTGGCGTTGGCTTGGGCATCTAACCAGTCATTATTAGCTTTTATATATTCTGAGCTTTTCATTGCCTTTTGCATGGCTGCGTCGTTATTTTTACTTTCTTGTGCTAAGTTTTCATACTGTACGGTTTGGTTTTGCAACTGTAAAAGTTTTTCTGCCTTTACATTTGCTTCAACTTCTTTTTTATACTCATCGCTATCCATATATGTCTTCAGGGCTTTTTGTTTTATTCTTCATCTTTCAGTACTTTATATTGAGTAGTATGGTTTTTCAAATTTATAACATCTTGTTCCATTTTTGCTACTTCTGCTGCTTTTTCTGACACTTTTTTCGCATATTCCTCTGTACTTAGTTCTTTCAGTTGTTCTTCTTTCTTCTTTTTCTCTACGTTTAACTCATTGAGTTTCTTTGTGTGTCTGTCATATTCTAGTTTCTTTTCGTTTTCACTTATTTGTTTCTGTATGTCTATGTTTGACTTTTTGACATCTGTTATTTGATTTTTGAGTGAACTCAAATTCATTTGACTTTGAGGGTTATAAGCTGTTCCGTCTGCAGCTCCACCATAGCCTGCCATTTTCGCTAAAAGTGCCGCTCTTAAACCTCCACTCTGTGCACCAATAACTCGGTTTAAAAGCATAGGGTTGCTTGACATTTGTTGCAACATAGTGGGGTCATTCATAATTTGTTGTTGCAACTGTTGTTGTGGTGTCAGTTTTACTATTGGATGTTTCAATGCTCCCTTCCTCTTACGTATATTCTTACGTAGCTTACGTGGCATTTTAAGTGAAGTAAAAAACGGTTTTTGACAGATGTTTATATGACACTTTTTGTTCAGCACAAAAAAACTACTCGGTCAAAGTGTTGTCAGTTTTGTAAAATAACCGTCCTATCTCATTCTATAAGGGGAAAAGGCTTCTCAAAGTATACTTCCTTGGAACGCCCGTAACTTTTCCTGTAGCGACGATAGACCCTTACTTGTCCGGACAAAGTTATACTATTTTGAGTGCTCTACAAAAAGTCAACGGCGACGAATCTCAAAAACCGTTGTGTAAAAAGTTTTACCGTTGGACAAAAAAGTATATATAGAAAACAAAAAAACGTTTATAGTTCATTCAATATTTGAGATGGAACGGTTTGCCAACGGTAACTATTAAATAAAATAAAAAAATAGAGGGGGTCTCCGTTGGTAAAAACCGTTTATTTTAAACTTTTCTATGAGTAGTCCGAAAAAAACAGTTTATTTTTCATAATGGCATTCGCTAGCGTGTTCGCTCCAAATTCACCTGAAGAAATTGCTTGCAGACTTTCAGCACCCACAGGTTTAGAGCCTCAATATCAAACTGCAGCATCTACACATTCTCCAAGCAGAACAGACAATTCAAATTCAAATTCAAATTTGTCCTGCAATTCGCTCAATCCAAAGCCACTTTCACTACCAAAAACAATACCAAACGAGCTCCGTATTACAAAGAACCACAGCAACGCTGAACTACGCAAAATACTACTCAGATTGTCTGAAGAATACTTCAATTCAAAGCCAGAAGAAAGAGTTGCTGCAACTTTTAACAAAGAATATTGTGAACAACTCAACAAAGTTCTTGCAGACTTTACCAAACTACAAAAAGAAACACCTGACCCATTCGAATTAGGTGACACAATTGTCAACTATTTTCCAACAATAACAAAGATAATTGTTGACAGAACTATATGTCAGCTTATTGAAAGTCTTCCACCCAAAGCTGCAAAAAAAGTCGAACAGTTTTGGGTCGAATTCAAATCAAAGAGTTACGGATATCAGGATGACGAAGAAGAACGTGAGTACGGACAAGAAACAGCAAAATGGCAATGTCTTAGCTCACTCAACCCCAAGTTCAAACCATTATTTTACTCAGACAACAACACAATTCAAGTACGCAAAATTGCTATTCATTTCGTTAACCAAGCAGAAGACATTGAAGAAGGAGACTCTATCTCAGTTTATGTTTGCTACTGCAAGTTTTTCAAGGACGAATTTGGAGGACCAATTCTCATGCATGTCTTCAAGCCACATCAGCAACTCTACGTTGAAACTGAAATAACACTCATGCATGGAATGTATCTCAAGTTTGAAAGCCAATTGGAAAACACATACAACATTTGGCTTTCATACATTCAGTTCGATACACCAGATGACTTTGATGTTGAAGAAGAAGACTCTACTCAAGAAGATGAACCACAAGACGCACCTGATGATGACGAATTTGTACCCGAAGAATAAGAATCTCATTCAAGAACACCATCAGAAGACGACCAACAAATGGCAGATGCAATGGACAGTCAAGTTCCATGAAACTAAACATCTAATTTTACCTCAATTCCAACTTTTTTTAAACATCTTCGGGGCTAGAGGGCACGAAGTGCCTGGAAGCCCCACTACCTTTTTTTTTTTTTTTTTTTTTGAATATAACTAATAAATGGTTCAAACGAATTCCAACCACAAAAGTTCTTTGTAAATTAATGATCAAAACCGAGGCCAAAGAATTTCATGAATTTACATATCATCCAAATAAAGTTTCAGAACTAGAAAATGAAAAACTTCAGAAAAAATTAAACGATAGACTTTCAAATGATCGTATTGAAAAAATAAATAAACTAGCAGAAGTTGCATTTAATAATGAAATATTTGATGAATATAACCTTGAACTCAGTGATGGACTTTAAGGACCCGGGCTCAACGAGTCATGATTTATGAAATCAATTATTTGATTTATTCGCTCTTCAATAATTTCTATTCTTTTTGTTAAATCATCTATTTTCATTAATGGGGTGATTCTTGATTGAGGAATAGATTTCAAACTAACCACCCCTTTTATTTTTGAAATTTTGAATCCATCAACTTTAAACATTTTATTCAATTTACACGTTGTCAATTCTTCAAATAATTTTTTATTGTTATCATAATAGTCATTAAATTCTTCAACAGATGAAAAAATTTTTATTTCAGTAATTGGTTTAACAACGTTTATTTTTTGTTGAACATTTTCACTTTCATTTATTTTTTCCTCCTCTGTTTCATTTATTTTTAAAATTGGTTTCATTTATCATTAAATAAAAATTAGAATATAAGTGATGAAATAAAATTTTTTAATTAATATTAAATCAGAAATGGCGGCAGGATTCTTTAAAAAATTATGGGATGGAATTAAGAAAGCTGCGGGTTGGGTTTATAAAAAGGTTATTAAACCTGTTGCAAACTTTTTGGCACCAGTAGCGAAAACGGCAGGAACTATCATAGGTGGAGTATTAGGTACTAAAGCAGGTAATCCGGCAATGGGAGCACAAGCAGGTAACGCAATTGGTGGAATAGCTGAAGGAATACTTAATAAAATAGGGGGTAGATAGTGGAAAAATAAATAAATATTATTTTTATCTTAGTATCGGTTGAAGTCTTTGATAAACTTTTTCTCCTTTATTTAATATTTCTCTTATTGGGGCAGCTTTTGGTGTTATTGATTCAGCAACGTCACTAATTGCTTCTTTATTCTTAAATATCCAATTTGCTCCTTTCTTCAATGTTTCCCAAACTTTATGCGCCCCTCTTTTTACTTTATCCCACAGTTTCTTAAAGAATCCTGCAGCCATAGTTGATTATTTCATTAAAATTAAAAATTCATTTTCATATTTTAATTTTGATTTTTTATTTAATAATAAATGACGACTAACTATTTGGTGCCAAACACCAAACCGATTAATGGAAATGTGTTTCATTCATTCGAAAAGATAAATGAAATATTCGCAAAGAATGACGGTAGAAGATATTATAGAGAGCTTGAAAGTTCATGCTATGACTCTGATGCTCCATATTTTGATGATAAACAAACTCATTTAAGAATTACAAATCCGGCTCATGATGTGAACCAATTAGGTGACACATATATTAAACGCAAAGTTAAAGCAACTCTAGTTTCAAATAAAGCTTTCACATGCGATGCCGCTTTTAAATGCATGCGTTTATTCGTTGGTTACAAATCATCAAATCAAAGCTTTAAACAATTAGAAGTAGAAACCGAAAGAGGTGATGCCGGTTATCTTCAGATGGATTGCGCCCGTGAATCTTTCGCATTTGCAACATATAAACCAAAATCAGAAAGGAAAGTTAAAAAGTTTGTTCATTCGTTATATAATAATGTTCAAAAATATGATAACTCAGTATGTGGTAAATATATTGACCCTTCAGAAGTTTTCAAGAAACAAAAAATGAAGAAAGAATTGATATCACTTTTGATATGATTATTCCAGTAAATGATTTGTTAGCATTTCAGGCGTTCGATGATTATCCTAAATCATTTGGTGATATCATTCTTAAATATTATGTTTTCAGGGATACTTTAGTATTTTGTCAGGTTGACCCGTTAAGAGTTGCTGATTTACAAAATTACGTTTATGAAAAGATAACTGATGAAAATTATGAAAAGATTATGAATCATGTTTATAAATATGATCGCAAATTCCAACAAATCGGACTTCCTGCCAAATTAATTACAAGCTTAGCCGCTACATCTGCTGACGCAACAGTTGATGGCGTTATTATTTCATGCACAAAGATGGAAGTTTTAGAGGATAAATGTATTACACCGGGATACGGTTTAATTGAAGAATCAGTTAAAGCAATACCACGTTTATTCAGTAAGGAAGATCCATTCATGATTCCAGCTCAACATATTGACGTTCGTTCACTAAATGGAGGTTGCATCACTCCTGAAGGTATTAGCTCAGATTTCTCATACGCTCTTCATAATGTTACAGATGTTGTGTTAACATTTCCGAAGAATGCAATGCAAAGAACGGTTTTAGAAAATACAATGCTTCGAGGTCTTCAGGTCACTATAGATTCCAGAAACTTCCCCGATCAAGCGATGACCACAGTGGGCGACATATTCTTTACACGTATGCTTCAAGCTTCTGATTTAGATGGAGTGAATGAATGCGCGGAAGAATACGAGGACTCATTAACTAGACCACTGAATGATGATGATGGCGTGCCATTAGCTAGAACATGGAAAGACCAAACTTCATTCTTATGCACTATTCCAGTTCAACGTGATGGAGCGGGTATATTCTTTGATGGATTAGAAACTTTCAACTCACAAGTTACAGTACAAGTGAAAGCTTATCCAATCATTCAGGGTGAAAATGACACTTACTGTTCAAAGGTGACAAATCCTCCTCAGGTTTGGTTTACTAGGACTACGTATTGGACATGGACACCGGATGAAGGTTTGAAATATCATCCAACAGGTACACCACCACAGTATAGAAGTTCATATGATGAAATATTGATGAATAGAAATGTTTAAAATTATAAATTTATTTTTGATTAAATGGAGTTAAACTCATCCACCCCTTATGAAGAATTAGCAGGAGTATATAATACATACGTAGATGATATGATTAATGAAGCATTGAGTGATAATAGAAATGCTCTATCTAAGGAAAAATTAATGAAAATTCCATATTCTGAATGTTACTTAAATTCAATCACTGCAGCAATTGGTAAACAAAATAAAGGTAAAACATTAACGATATTAAAACAAATTATCATTATTGCTAACACTTCCCCCCATTCACATGTGTTAATTTATATCAACCGTTCAGGTTCACCTTCAGATGATACATTTGAATCTTTAAAGCATTTAATCAAAATTCCAATTATTTATTTATCACAAGAAGAAGCAGAAGATTATTTAAAAAACTTTTTAATGTATAAAGAATTATATAATACAATCAAGAAGCAAGGATTAGAGGATAAAATTATTGATAAACAACGGGATGAATTATTTGAAACACTTTCTATTTCAAATTTTGATAGAGAATTTTTGCATTCACTAATTTTTCTAGATGATGCGGTGAAATCAAAACTAATAACAAATGAGAAATCATATTTTAATCAGTTATTAACTCAATGTCGACACATTCAGTGTTCATTCTTTATGGCTGTTCAATACTTCAAAGCATTAAGCACAAACATTAAATCAAATCTATCAACCCTTTTCATTTTCAGTGGGTTTAGTCGTCAACAGTTGAACGTTATGCTTTATCAAGTGAATTTACCAATGATCATTAATGAACTTTACACACAATATCAGCAATTAGGTGAACATGGGAAAATAATAGTTGATTTAAATAAAGGAAGTGTTAAATTTGATTAACTTTTTATGATTAATTTTTATTTTTTATTTATAATTAAACATGACAGAAATTGCAAATCTTCTACAGGTTCCATTAAAACAAGGGACAAACAAAAGGGGTGCATATAATAGAACTATGAAAGTTCCTGATGGAATGAAGGAATTAGTTCATATTGTTGCTGGTCTTCAAAAAGATGTTAAACAAATGAGAAATGTTTTAACATTACCAGAAGCTCAAGCATATGCCAAACGTCATGGTCCAAATTGGGAAGCACACGAAGCAGACATTACGGGTCCAAATGGAAAACCTGATGGTATAAATGAAGTTTTCGTTACTGATGGTCAAGGTAATATTAAAGTCATAAATGGTTATAAATTAACTGTATCTGATTATCCTAAACGTAAAGCATATAATGAACGTTATCCTATGCAATTTGATGAAAATGGAAAAGCTGTTAAACAATACATTGGAGAAGGTGAAAATGGTCCAATTAATTCATACCGTCATAATCCATATTCTTATTTCAATGAAGAATTAAACGCTATTGAAGAGGGACCGGATGGATTACCACGATATGTTAATCAGTTTGATGGTCAATATGCAAATATTAGACCTGAAATTCCAGCTAAGAAATTCTTTAAAGTTGCTTTATTCGATCCAGTGTTCAATGAACAGAAAGAAGCAATGAAAGCAGAATTTAAACCAATTCAAGTGGCAAGAATTTCTTCATCTTCACTTTCAGAAGCGTTCAAGGAATTGATAAAGAAACCACTTTATTCTCAACAAGGTTATAACTTTGATTTAATTAAAGAAAGTGATAGACGTAAATTAGAAAAATCAGATGGTTTTAAGAATGCATGTAATGAAATGATTAAAGATATTGTAAATGATAAAATAAGACTGGAAGAAACTCAAAGCATTATCAATAACATAATTGGTGCAGTTACAAAGAAAGTATAAGCAAACAATGATGAACCTTGGGATATTACCATAACAACTAAATAAAACTTTAAATATATTTTTCTTTTTTTTATTCAATTATAAATGAGAAGACGTTTCACAAGTCAAAAGAACACAAACGCAAAAGCAGAGATTACGGTTGGTTATAACGTAAATGATGATAAATCACGAATTATTCAAAATGTTAAAGTTAATGTTAGTCCTGAATTAACAAGGTCAGCAACTCAACCAAATTTATTAACTCGTGACTTACCAAAGAAAGAGGGGGAGCAAAATAAAGAAGATGAAGACCCAATCATTTTATCTGAACCCGGTAAAGAACCCGTTGAAATCCCCACATATCCAACATACCCCCCACCTCTTTCATCAAACATCGAGAACCCAGGAATCTACGATTCCAGTCGCATTGCGCCATATAAAATAGACATTAATTCTGAATTAATGAAAATTTACCGTGATATAATAATTAATAATTATGATTCAATAATAAATTTAATTGACCAATCCGGTTTAATTATTTTACCTTATGAATCATTAATTCACATTATCGCCATTCTTTGTGATGTTCAAGATTCAGACGTTAAGATTCAATTTTTCATAGATGATGATGTTTCATGCTGCGGAACAGTTGCAAAAATAAATCCTATAAAGGATATTAGCACAATTAAGATATCAAAGAATGGAACAACAACTGAACTTCATTTAACTTATAATGATATTTATAATAAAATAGTTGATGAATATAAAATATCACTTGAAAAATTCTTTGTTAAGGCCATTTAATATTCAAGCATTAACATTAACGAATAATAATCCTTTGAATCATAATCAATAATAATTGACCTTTCACCAGTTTCTATCGTTTGTTTTATTTCTTTTTGTTCCCCACTATCTGGATCGGTCATTGTAATTGTTTTTGTTATAGTATCAGCTTTATCTTTAACTTCAATCTTTTTTCCATCAGGATATTTAAACCAAAATTCCAAAAATTCGATATTGTCAATCTGTTCATATTTTAATCTATCAATTGCATTTTTAATACCATCTGAAAATCTTATGAAATGGTCATTATATGGGTTTGATTGAACTAAATTTGAATGAAGTGAAATATAACCTGATGATGAATATGACATTGACTCATATTTTCTGAAAACACAGATTTCCCAGATGTTTTCTCAACGTTTCAGGGTTATAAATACAACATTCTTGAAAAGCCTGATTACTCAAAAATTGAGATGTTTATGGATTTCATTAAAGAAGCCATTTGTGATAATAACGATGAAGTGTATAAATACCTTCTCGGCTGGATTGCATCAATGATTCAACATCCTGGAATCAAGAATGAAACAGCAATTATTTTGAAAGGACTTCAGGGAACAGGTAAAAACAGATTTACAGACATTATTTCTGAACTCCTCGCTGGTTATTCATGTAAAAACATTACTGAAATAAGTGAGCTAACGGGTAATTTCAACTCAGTAGTTGAGAATAAAATGTTTCTTGTACTTAATGAACTCAAGAATGTAGGTGAAGACAGACTCGCAAACTTCAACGCTTTGAAATCAATTATTACGGATAATGAGATTAGAATTAATGAAAAGAATCAACCCAGAAGAACTGCTCAGAACGTTGCAAACTTCGTTTTCGTAACTAACAACGTCTACCCTGTCAAAATTGAAGTTGGAGACAGAAGATACGTAGTTTTAAGAGTTAATGGTAAATTCAAGGGTCAATTTGATTACTTCAAGAATTTAATGGATTCATGCACAAAGGAATTTTATGATAACCTTTTAACATATTTTATGCAATATGACCTTTCATCATTTAACGTACGAATTATACCGATGACTGAAGCCAAACAAGATTTAATTGAATTATCAACAAATCCTTTAGATGAATGGATAAATACACATTATGATGAATTATGTGCAGGTATGACGTGTAAAAATGCCCTATTCTGCAAACCATCAGACATGAAAGACAAGAATTTCCAAATGAGCATTAAGGATAAATGTGAAAGGAAACAAAGAAAAATAGATGGTAAACAAACATGGTATTATGTTTTGAAAGAAGAAATGAAAGGATTATATAAACAAATTGAACCAAACGATAATGAGGAATCATTTACTGACGATGAAATACCTGTGAATGAAGCTTTATAAAGTATGACTGGAATTTATTTTTGCCTTCCTCATTAATCCCATGATGTTGTCAAAATGTCATGTTGTCACATTTTTTCAGAGAAGTTAAATTACCTGGTGACCACCTGGTGACCCGGTGACCTCATCAGTTATTCAAAAATAAATAATTATTGAATAACCTAAAACCATTAACGCTAAAATAAGTGATAACAAATTTTTATTTTTATCATAAATGAATACCCCACAAGCTCAAAATTTACCACGAATCATAACAAGGGAGGAAATGATAAAAATGATGCAAGAACATGTTAAAAATAACAAACCACTAAAATTGAGAAAATGTGGTTATGCAGTAATGATGGAAAGAGAGATGTTGTCGAAGAGGAATAAAAATTAAATTTGGATAGAGTTTAAAAATTCATCTTTATTAAATTCATCTCTTCCAAGATATTTATTTATTCTATTAAATTCTTTTATTTTTGCTTCACTCAGTTTAATGATTGAACGGTAAGTTTCTAATTTTTCGATTATTTCTTTATTGTTTTCAACCCCACCGCATTGCGACTTCTTTTTGTAATAGCATATTTTTGATTTAATTCTGTTTAGTTTCTTTTTATATTCATCGTCTGGACTCTTGACTGCTTTGTTGTCACTCATTTTCTTACGAATTAAAAAAATTAAATATTATTTAAATATAATGGAGTAATAAAATAAATCGGAATTTCTATTAATTTATTGTTAACTTCAACTAATGCATTGCCGTTAATATATCTAACAAATTCAGCTATTGTGTCAAATCTTCGTCTTCTTTTTGTCATTGATTTATTAGTTTTTCCATAATCGAGATGAATCAAAACTTTATTTCCTTGTTTAAAATTCATGAGCCCCGAATTAATTTGTTCACGTTTAACATCATTCAACCTTTCCATTTGCTTTCTAATATATTCCCATTCTTTTGAAATATCATTTTTCATTTCCACCGGTTTCATGTTTATTGTTCTATGCCATGTATTATTGTAATAATATACTAACTGCTGTATGATAGAGTCATGATTTCCATCCCAGTATATCTGACCGTTAACCCCTAACGCATCTCTAAGAGTTCTCATTACCGCATCAACTATTTTATTATGAAACGTATATGGAGAGGATGAAAAGAAAAAATTAATTTGTGGGAAATAATGAGTCATAGCTGCCTGAAATCCTTTATCACCATCACCCCTTATATTATCTACTCTTTCATGATCTAGTAAGTATTGAATAGCTCTTCTTGTTTCCTGTTCTGTTTTCCCTTTCACCGGAATGCAATATAAATATCTAGTGTTAATGTTAATGGCAAATAAATAAGTAACGTTTCCTTTTGAATATTCCAGATGATCGATTTCGTATGAATATGGATATGGAGCAAATGAAGGTCGACTAAATTTTTCCTTTAATGGTTGAATTTTCGGGTCAATTGGTTTATTTAATATCTTGAAATCCTTTTTAAAATCTTTTTGCTTCTTTAATGTTTGAAATGGATATAATAAAGTGAATGATGAAGGATTAACTGAAGGAGGAGGCGGTACTGTCGTTGGAGGTTTTGGTGTTGCAGGTGGTTTAATTTTATCTGCTTTGATTTTGGAATTCATTCCTCCTTTCATTAATTCTGGATGTATTCTATTCATTTGTTTTAAATATGCTGTATATAAAGGTTTGATATACTTTCCCACTTCGAGTTTATGTTGAAGGATGAATTCCAAAAGTTGATCTTCATTTAAAAGTCGGGCTGAATATGGTTTAACTAATGAATCATAAATTAAAGCTTGTGCATCATTTATGGTCTGAAGGACCTGGGCGTTTTGTTCCTTTTGTTTTTGTGGCTCAGGATTATATAATTTATATAATCCATCAATATCTCCTTCTGTTAATACTTTATTTTTGAAATCTTTCAACTGTTTAAGTTGTGATTTAGTTTTTCCCTTTGAATATTCATTATTTTTAATTTTGTCTTTAATTTCAGAAATTATTCTATCATGATATTTCAAATTTTCATTTTTATAATATGGATAACAATATTCCATATCATCACCCGTTATATTGTTATCATATTTTTGGAGATATGCTTTTAAATCATAATAATCAAGAAAATTTTGATTAAATACTAAATCATCAATCAATCTTTTTAAATCCGTGTTATTCATTTATATAAAAATAAAATAAATGTTTAAGGGTGCCCATCATTCAACGGTTCCTTTTGTCTCTTCTGTGGTATTTTATTAAATAAATGGCATACAACATCCATTTTCACAACATACAGCCTTAGTGTGTGCCCCTGTTAATGCAGTCTTACCGATTGTTAAGCGAGTCATTGACCCGTTTTTAAGTTGTAAATTAATATTCTGACCATCGAAAATAACTTTATCATTTATTATATCCAAATAATTTTTAGGTGTTAATTGTTTATTTTGTCGTAAACTAACACCCTTCATTTTTTGTGCAATCTTTTTAAAATCACTTCCATCAATTGAACCGTTGAATGATGTATAACACTTAGGACATAAAGCAACCATGTTATCACCTTGTTTCTCAATTGCTAAACCCAATAACTTCTTCTCATGTGCTTTTTCTTCAGCTTTATTCTTTAATTTAGGTTTAAATTTCTCATCAAAACAGAAGAAATTAAAAGGTGCGAATTTGTAAATGTTTTTATCATAAAATTGTTTATCGGTTATAATCACCTGAAATGCTTGAGTGTTAGGAAGATTTGGATCGCCGGCGATTGCCCAATAAGATGAATCAGTATCACCTTCAATGAAATGAAAACGATTAACATCCATGCATTTATACATAAAATCATAAATGAAAACCAAATACCAGTATTTAGCATTATCTAAAGTGAAGAATGCCTCTTGTAAACATGTTTCACATCTATAAAATCTATCTTTAAGCATCACTTGATATGTATCCTCTCCTATTTCTCTTATGTTTTTAAACTTATTTGACATACATGCAACGCGTGCCTTCTGTGCATTCATTATTTTAGTCTTTGTGTAATTTTGTGTATTCATTGCATCGTAACCATATGATTCATTAAGTGAAATCTTGCAAAATAAACTTTTTCCTTTATTTCCTTCTAATTCAGCCTTTTGTCTTTCGTTCATAAATTCGTTCGCAAATTCATTAAAACAAGTGTTTTTAGTAAATGTTAAAATTGATTGAATGTCATCGATGATAAAATGAAATCTGTCGATTAGATACCAAAGATAATAAGAAGAAAATGGTTGATATTGGTTGTGTGTTGATGCTAACTGAGTTAATTTTCTCTGTTTCTGGTCAACTGGTAGATTGTTTGATTTCATGTAATTATACATAAAACTGCCAATTGTTTTTTCATCTGTGATAATATCTAAGTTTCTTATTATCGGTAAAAAGTTAATGTAATCATTAATGTATTTTTCATCGATGTGACCCTTTACTTCAGCCACGAATAAAGTATTTTTCTTCTTAATTATTCCCAGTGCTTTTGTTTTCTTTGTTGCTTTATCACAAATGATAACACCATTCAATCTTCCCGGCATATACATTTTATGGTCAGTATATTGAATGAAATCATGAGGATTAGATGAAAATGATGAAGGATATAATGAATTAAAGTCAACACCAACGAAATGAGTCATAATGTTGGTGGTGTCCTCATTTGATACAGTTTTAGTTTCTGGATTATATGAAAGTTTATTAATGTGCGTGATTCCTTTAAGATTAACACGATGTTGAACATTTGATAGACCACCAGTAATTCCATTACGGAGAATGTGATAAGCTTCAACTGAATCTAAAGTCATTGGTAAATTATTTTTTAATGCATAATTTCTTAAATTGATTCTTAAACGTTGAACATCTTCATCTTTATTTGATTTTACGACATTGCAATAACAACACATTAACTGACAATTTTCTTTGCTATGTGGTTTTTCATTATCTATTCTATCCAATGTTGGTTTATTTGCATATGTAAACGCTTTACCACACATTTTGCATTTAGATGAAAGGATTAAATCATGATAGTATTGATAGTCATCCATTGAAACATTGTTTTTAGTATCCCTTTCCGCTTTTTCATCTTGTTTCTTATATGATTCAATTTTATATTTCCAATACTTTTTTGTTAATTCAAAACTTGATTCCACATTTTCTTCTTCTGGATATGTTTCGTTAGGATTGAAGTTCTTATATGCTAACGCGTAACGAATCATTGAAGCATTCGATGATAAAGAAAGATTATGAAGCATGTCAATTTTATAAACAAATGTTTCTTCGATAATTTTATCAATTGGGTCAATCATAATTTCAACATCTTTATTGCAATAATGAATAAAATATTCTAATCTATTCTTAAAGTTTTTAGCATCATTGAGATATATTTGATAATCTGAATCGGATATTGTTTCTTGAGTTAATGCTGAATAAAATGAATCTTGAGTGAATGGTTCCTTTTTATATAATTCATCTTCGTAATTTTCCCATGTGATGAATTGATAAGGGAAAAAGGATTTAACACGTGATTTATTGTTTCCGAAATCTTGAGTGAATTGATCTAATGTCCCACCCGCTATATAATTTCTGATGTCAATAAATCTTAATTCATATGGACAGTTTGTTTTCTTTACTATGATTTGCTTAAATTGAGAAGAAGAACCCAGCATTGATTTTATTTTCCATTTTGCAGTGTTTAAATCACGAAGAATTAAATTTAAATCAAACTTTCCCGAATTAAAACCAATGATATTCACTTTATTAAATTCTTCATCTAAAAGCTCTTTCATTGCTTCCTTTTGTTTCTCATTTAATGTATTCATTAATTCTTCATATTGTTCAATATTTGATTTAGCAACTAATGAATGTTGAAAATAAAATTCAATCCAATCAGAGATGAACGAATCACTTGATGTTAAGCAAAATTCCTCGTAAATGTTTTATCACGGTCTACGACCTCACCGCTTTGCGGCTTTATTTTGACAGTTGATGATACCATAAATGGTTTTAAGTAAGCGTTCAAAGTTGCACATTCAGAAAGTTGAAGTTCTTCTTTAGTCTCTAATGTTTCGAAGTCAAAAGTAATATAATATCTTGTTGGTTTATAATATTCCTGCAAATTATGTGCTAATAGCCATTGATATATCTTCTGTTTCGTGATATGTGGTGCATATGGTTGTTGTGTGTTTTGCAATTGAACGTCTTGAATTAATCTTCCATTATTTTCTTTACATTTCTCACAATGCTTTAAAAATCTTCTTTGGTTTTTCCTTTCTGGATCATCACGGATAGAATATACTTCTTCTTTGCAAAAGGGGCAAACTTTATATCCTGTGAGTGCTTCAACGTCTGTTATTCTGTCAGCGTGAAGTTTTCCACATGGACTCTGTGTTAATAAAATATTTACTGTTTCAAATTCTGGATCTATCATTATTGATTCCACTAATGGGAAGTCTACCTTATTTATGTCCACGTCTTCTGGTTGAGGATCACAATAATAGAAATCAATATTAACATTTAACATTCTCGCTAATCTCTCACTTTCTGATGAAATGTCAAACCCTTCATATGCATCTATTGTTTCATTTAAATAGCTTCTACGAGTTTTAGGATTAACACCATCAGGAATGTTATAGAAGCGTTTAAATAACCTTCTACCTTCTGCTCTAATTTGATTATCATTCATTTTAGCTGTTCCGTTTTTGTTCATTTATGTAAGAATAAAAATTAAAAAATAAATAAAAATAAAGTTTATTTTTTTAAAGTCCGTAAAATGAATTAAGAACACATAAATTTTTATCATCTGCGACGTGACGAATACATTTTAATTTACTCAAGAATGCGTACCCTGGTACATTAAATCTAATTCCTGTCTTATTTAATTTCACAACTTTGAAAAGGAATGTATGAATAGCTATAAAATGATGAGATGATGTTTTATGAGTTGCTTCCATTTTTTCTGAAATAAATGAATAAATATAATGTTTATAAGTTTTCATATCTTTTATGTTCTTAATAACGAATGGTATAGACCTTTCCACTTCATCTTCTTCGGTGCTGTTTTTTCATATGAAACATTATTGGTATCTTCAACAATGAAACACAATCAACAAAATTTTATAGGTTCCAATGGTTTCTTTTGATATTTTATCTAATAAATCAAAAACTTTATCAACACCTGTGCATTTATTTAAATAATAATTTGTGTAAATATCATGGTCTTCTTTCTTAATCGTATTTGTTGCATATGTTACATTTTTCAGTGCTTTTTTGAATTTTTCAGAATCAAGAGGAGGTGAAAGTAATATACATGGATAATCTCCATCGTCAATAAACTGAAGCTTATGTTTATGAATAAATTTTGTGCCTTCTTCTGAAAGTGTTTCGTCAATATCACCATCTAATAAATTTTTAGTAGATTCCAAAAAGTAATTTTTATATCTTTCCTCATGTGATTTTTGAACTTCTGATTCTGAAGCTGGGATATTCATTAAACCCTCTACTTCATTCTCATTATATTTTTCAACTTCTCTTAATTCCTTAATTTTTTCATCTATTTCATCTCTTATTTTTTCCAGTCTTTCAATTTCAATTTCATTATATTCATCATCTTTAATTTGTTCTTCATAATATTCAGGGAAAACATCAGGTTCTTTAGGTTTTTCTTCTTTAGATGTGGGATATAAGAAATTTATAACATCATTTTTATTCATTTTTCCATCATAATCTAAATCATTTAAAAACTCGGCGAATTTTTTACAATTTCTTAAATAATATTTATCAACCTCATAACCCGCCTCCTCTAATATATCCTTTATTTCCTCATTTGTGAATCCCATTTTTTTAACGTTGTTAGTTTTGACGCTCATTTTCTTACGAATTAAAAAATAAATTATTCAAAAATGTAAGACATGAATTTTTAAAGTTTATTTTTTTTATTTCATTATGGTAGTGAATCTTTCATTCATGAAAATAATTATTTCTAATTTCTTTTACTCTCTCGTACATACTAGATTTGAAGAATTCAGAACATTTCCCATAATCTCCTAAATGTTTTCTTATCTTATTGGTTTTCCATTCATTATATGAAACTGTATAAACTTTATCTTTATTTTTGCATCTTTCATCTCTTCCAAGATATTTATATTTCAATTTTGATTTATTGGTTTCATATTCATTAGCGTTTAATAATTCACAGTCTTCCTTTTTAAATAAATGTTTTATGTATTCAGGATTAAGAATTCTATAATATTGCTTCCCTTTAAATCTTTGAATATAAACAGGAACACCATCCTCTAAAATTCGATAATCTATTTTATCTGGTTTTACTTGTTGGGTCATTTATGTAAGAATAAAAAAATAAATTATGTTTAAAATTAATGTTAAAATAATGATACAAAATCGTTCAATATTGTATGAATTCTTACGTTTACAAAAAAAGTCACAAAACCCATCATATACTACTACTTACGTTTTTTAAGTCATGAATTCGTAAGAAAGCGCGACATTATTAAATAAATTAGTAATAAATATTATATACTAAACACATTTTAAAAAAATTAACATTAATTTTAAAATAATTTATTTTTTATCTTTTATAAAATAATCTATATATAGATGATGTCGGATATTCCGCGATTAATTAAACATTGTTTAAATCCTGAATGGGTTAAACTTCAATTTAAAAATGAAGATTGTGAATTATTAAATGAATATGAAAGCCAAAATAAGCTAATGAGGTATAAATATAATGATAAAGAATATTTAATTTCATGGAATCAATGGAGTCATAATCAAAGACCTCATAAACAAGAAGAAGAAATTGAAAATAATGAAATGGAAATCATTGATGACATTAAAGAGGATGGAATTCCTAAATTTTGTAGAAAAACCTTTAGAACTAAGTTAGGAGCATATAAACGTAGAGTATTAAATCCTGAATATCTTAAACATCAATTTAAAAAGGAAGACTGTGAATTATTAAACGCTAATGAATATGAAAATGCTAAATCAAAACTGAGATATAAATATATTGGAAGTGATGAAAGGTGTAAAGATAAAGATAAAGTTTATTCAGTTTCATATAATAACTGGCACACGTTAGGGATAAGAAAACATTTAGGAGATTATGGGAAATGTTCTGAATTCTTTAAATCTAGTATATACAAGAGAGTAAAAGAAATCAGATATAATTATTTTCATGAATAAAATAAATCATTAAACATTCATGTCTTACATTTTTGAATAATTTATTTTTTATTTTGTATGAAATGAGCGTCAAAACTAACAACGTTAAAAAATTAGGATTCACAAACGAGGAAATAAAGGATATATTAGAGGAGGTGGGTTATGAAGTTAGTAAATATTATTTAAGAAATTGTCAAAAATTTGCCGAGTTATTAAATGATTTAGATTATGATGGAAAAATGAATAAAGATGATGTTATAAATTTCTTATATCCTACATCTGAAGAAGAAAAACCAAAAGAACCTAATGTTTTCCCTGAATATTATGAAGAACGGATTAAAGATGATGAATACGATGAAATTGAAATTGAAAGACTGGAAAAAATAAGAGATGAAATAGATGAAAAAATTAAGGAATTAAGAGAAGTTGAAAAATATAATGAAAATGAAGTAGAGGGTTTAATGAATATCCCAGCTTCAGAATCAGAAGTTCAGAAATCTCATGAAGAAAGATATAAAAATTATGTCTCAGAATCAACACAAAATTTAGGGTCATTATTGATTTTGTAATTTAATCGTCGTCGTTATCGATTTTGTAATTTAATCGTTATCGTCTTTTTCTAAACGTGCATTTTTTGCTTTCGGAGCTATTGAACATACATTGGCCCTTACCAGCAATTGAAAACTATTTTTCATTATCAACAATTACATTACTCCGAGTTATTCATCAATCAATGAAAATCGATATATAGTCCATACTTCAATTTACAATATTGGCAAGTCCAATTTCACTTGGCATATTTAACTCATATAGAAAAACCAGTTGGAATCGGCAAAATTATCTTTAATTCCATACATAAGAAAAAAAATTATAAAGTTCTTCAAAATAGCAAACTAATAGTTTAAATAGATTTACAAGTATCGCCCATCTACTTTTGATATAATTCACATATTAAATGTAGAAAACTGGTTTAAAATAAATATTTCAAAAGTTCGAAAACGATTTATGAAAAAATAATGTGATGACATTTACTAAATTTGCTCTGTATTAAAGTATCGATGATAGAAAGAGCATATTTTGTAAATATTTCAAAGATATTTAAGGACTTCGACTTTAGCATCACATAAATATGTTATTTTCTATATTAAAACGTAATTTTGGTGGTCTTAGAATAGAAAAATATGCAATATTCGTGGAGATAATGAGGGTTCTTAAACATGTTCTTAAAAATAAATAAAATAATACAAATCTTTATTCAATCGTTTACAAGCTGCAAAAATCGAACAATAATTTGACTTTGTAAAAAAAGTGCGTCATTTTTATTCGTTATACTTACAAAATGTAAACATTACGAGAAACATTTACATTTGTAAATGTAACAAGTAAAGTTGTATCGCATAATTTGACTTTGTAAAAAAAGTGCGTCATTTTTATTCGTTATACTTACAAAATGTAAACATTACGAGAAACATTTACATTTGTAAATGTAACAAGTAAATACATCAGATTTAAATTGTAAATGTAGTTTATCTCTCTCATCTCCTTTTTAAAAGGTATTACATACATACGAACGCATGGGTCACTCAATAATTAGCGTGATAATAATTGAGGATAGACTGTAATCGTAATTTTATTTTTGGACTTATATTTCGACATTTTGAAGTCGCTTGAAAGTCTTGCAAATGATTAAATTTGGAAAATTTGACCTAAGTCTGCATTATTTTGATGACTTAAACAATTCTATAAATCTGTTTTCCTAAAAATTTAAAAAGATATAATTTCAATTTCCCTAAATTTATGTAATTCATATATCACCAAAATATTTGGACTGCATTTCGTTTGTCTGCACCTAATTAAAGTCTAAATACCAATTAATTTTGGAGTTGCATTGCTTTTAATGTAAAAATGCACGTTTAGAAAAAGACGATAACGATTAAATTACAAAATCGATAACGACGACGATTAAATTACAAAATCGATAACCTCTCCAAAATTTATTAGATGGTGAAATAGACGAAACACTTTCAGAAGAAGGTACTAAATTTATTCGTAAACTACAATTTATTGATAATGAAGAATACCCTTGTATCTTACTTTCACCACCTTTAGATTCCGAAAAATTCAAAAAAGCTCTTAAAAACGTGACATATGCAACTAATACGATTAAGAAAGAAGATCATGATATTTACACAAATTATTATTTAAATAAATGCACAGGTGTTGATAAAGTTTTTGATTTATTAGATAAAATATCAAAAGAAACCATTGGAACCTATAAAATTTTGTGTGATGTGGTTTCATTGTTGAAGATACTAATAATGTTTCATATGAAAGAACAGCACCGAAGGAAGATGAAGTGGAAAGGTCTATACCATTCGTTATTAAGAATATAAAAGATATGAAAACTTATAAACATTATATTTATTCATTTATTTTCAGAAAAAATGGAAAAATAAAAACATCATCTCATCATTTTATAGCTATTCATACATTCCTTTTCAAAGTTGTGAAATTAAAATAAGACAGGAATTAGATTTAATGTACCAGGGTACGCATTCTTGAGTAAAAAAATGTATTCGTCAGTCGCAGATGATAAAAATTTATGTGTTCTTAATTCATTTTACGGACTTTAAAAAATAAACTTTATTTTTATTTATTTTTTAATTTTTATTCTTACATAAATGAACAAAAACGGAACAGCTAAAATGAATGATAATCAAATTAGAGCAGAAGGTAGAAGGTTATTTAAACGCTTCTATAACATTCCTGATGGTGTTAATCCTAAAACTCGTAGAAGCTATTTAAATGAAACAATAGATGCATATAGGGTTTGACATTTCATCAGAAAGTGAGAGATTAGCGAGAATGTTAAATGTTAATATTGATTTCTATTATTGTGATCCTCAACCAGAAGACGTGGACATAAATAAGGTAGACTTCCCATTAGTGAATCAATAATGATAGATCCAGAATTTGAAACAGTAAATATTTTATTAACACAGAGTCCATGTGGAAAACTTCGCTGACAGAATAACAGACGTTGAAGCACTCACAGGATATAAAGTTTGCCCCTTTTGCAAGAAGTATATATTCTATCCGTGATGATCCAGAAAGGAAAAACCAAAGAAGATTTTTAAAGCATTGTGAGAAATGTAAAGAAAATAATGGAAGATTAATTCAAGACGTTCAGTTGCAAAGACACAGCAACCATATACACCACATATTACGAAACAGAAGATATATCAGTGGTTATTAGCTCATAATTTGCAGGAATATTATCAACCGACAAGATATTATATTACTTTTGACTTCGAAACATTAGAGACTAAAGAAGAATTACAACTTTCTGAGTGTGCAACTTTGAACGCTTACTTAAAAACCATTCATGGTATCATCAACAGTTAAATTAAATGATAAAACGTATACAAGGAATTTTTGCTTAACTTCGAGTGATTCTTTTATTTCTGACTGGATTGAGTTTTTATTTTCAACCTGTTCATTAGTTGCTAAATCAAATATTGAACAATATGAAGAATTAATGAAGCCACAAACGGCGGGGACTTTGTCCCATACATTAAATGAAAAACAGAAGGAAGCATTTAAAGAACTTCTAGATGAAGAATTCAATAAAGTGAATATCATAGGTTTTAATTCGGGAAAGTTTGATTTAAATTTAATTCTTCGTGATTTAAACACTGCAAAATGGAAAATAAAATCAATGCTGGGTTCATCTTCACAATTTAAGCAAATCATTGTAAAGAAAACAAACGTTCCATATGAATTGAGATTTATTGACATCAGAAATTATATAGCGGGTGGGACATTAGACCAATTCACTCAAGATTTCGGAAACAATAAAACACGTGTTAAATCCTTTTTCCCTTATCAATTTATCACATGGGAGAATTACGAAGAAGAATTATATAAAGTGGAACCATTCACTCAAGATTCATTTTATTCAGCATTAACCCAAGAAACTATATCAGATAGTGATTATCAAATATATCTCAATGATGCTAAAAACTTTAAGAATAGATTAGAATATTTTATTCATTATTGCAATAAAGATGTTGAAATTATGATTGACCCAATTGATAAAATTATTGAAGAAACATTTGTTTATAAAATTGACATGCTTCATAATCTTTCTTTATCATCGAATGCTTCAATGATTCGTTACGCTTTAGCATATAAAGACTTTAATCCTAATGAAAAATATCCTGAGGAAGAGATAGAATCAAGTTTTGAATTAACGAAAAAGTATTAGAAATATAAAATTGAATCATATAAGAAACAAGATGAAAAAGCAGAAAGGGATACTAAAAATAATGTTTCAATGGATGATTTTCAATACTATCATGATTTAATCCTTTCATCTAAATGCAAAATGTGTGGTAAAGCGTTTACATATGCAAATAAACCAACATTGGATAGAATAGATAATGAAAAACCACATAGCAAAGAAAATTGTCAGTTAATGTGTTGTTATTGCAATGTCGTAAAATCAAATAAAGATGAAGATGTTCAACGTTTAAGAATCAATTTAAGAAATTACGCATTAAAAAATAATTTACCAATGACTTTAGATTCGGTTGAAGCTTATCACATCCTCCGTAATGGAATTACTGGTGGTTTATCAAATGTTCAACATCGTGTTAATCTTAAAGGAATCACGCACATTAATAAACTTTCATATAGTCCAGAAACTAAAACTGTATCAAATGAGGACACCACCAACATTATGACTCATTTCGTTGGTGTTGACTTTAATTCATTATATCCTTCATCATTTTCATCTAATCCTCATGATTTCATTCAATATACTGACCATAAAATGTATATGCCGGGAAGATTGAATGGAGTTATCATTTGTGATACAGCAACAAAGAAAGCAAAAGCACTGGGAATAATTAAGAAGAAAAATACTTTATTCGTGGCTGAAGTAAAGGGTCACATCGATGAAAAATACATTAATGATTACATTAACTTTTTACCGATAATAAGAAACTTAGATATTATCACAGATGAAAAAACAATTGGCAGTTTTATGTATAATTACATGAAATCAAACAATCTACCAGTTGACCAGAAACAGAGGAAATTAACTCAGTTAGCATCAACACACAACCAATATCAACCATTTTCTTCTTATTATCTTTGGTATCTAATCGACAGGTTTAATTTTATCATTGATGACATTCAATCAATTTTAACATTTACGAAAAACACTTGTTTTAATGAATTTGCGAACGAATTTATGAACGAAAGACAAAAGGCTGAATTAGAAGGAAATAAAGGAAAAAGTTTATTTTGCAAAATTTCACTTAATGGATCATATGGTTACGATGCAATGAATACACAAAATTACGCAAAGACTAAAATAATGAATGCACAGAAGGCACGCGTTGCATGTATGTCAAATAAGTTTAAAAACATAAGAGAAATAGGAGAGGATACGTATCAAGTGATGCTCAAAGATAGATTTTATAGATGTGATACATGTTTACAAGAGGTATTTTTTACTTTAGATAACGCAAAATACTGGTATTTAGTTTTCATTTATGATTTTATGTATAAATGCATGGATGTTAATCGTTTTCATTTCATTGAAGGTGATACCGATTCATCTTATTGGGCTATTGCTGGCGATCCAAGTCTTCCTAACACTCAAGCATTTCAGGCGATTGTAATCGATAAAAAATTTTATGATAAAAACATTTTCAAATTCGCACCTTTTAATTTCTTCTGTTTTGATGAGAAATTTAAACCTAAATTAAAGAATAAAGCTGAAGAAAAAGCACATGAGAAGAAGTTATTGGGTTTAGCAATTGAGAAACAAGGTGATAACATGGTGGCGTTATGTCCTAAATGTTATACTTCATTCAACGGTTCAATTGATGGAAGTGATTTTAAAAAGATTGCACAAAAAATGAAAGGTGTTAGTTTACGACAAAATAGGCAATTAACACCTAAAAATTATTTGGATATAATAAATGATAAAGTTATTTTCGATGGTCAGAATATTAATTTACAACTTAAAAACGGGTCAATGACTCGCTTAACAATCGGTAAGACTGCATTAACAGGGGCACACACTAAGGCTGTATGTTGTGAAAATGGATGTTGTATGCCATTTATTTAATACAATTTAAAATTTTATTTTTAATGAAATGCCACAGAAGAGACAAAAGGAACCGTTAATGATGCGATTCAATATGTAAATAATGGTTTTGATACTATGATTCAAAGAGGTGGGCACCCTTAAAACATTTATTTTATTTTTATATAAATGGATAACGCAGATTTAGAAAATTTAATTGATGATTTAGTACTTTATCAAAATTTTCTTAATTATTATGAATTAAAATCATATCTCCAAAAACATAATAAAAATATAACGGGTATCCATTTATATAAAAATAAAATTTTAAATTATGCCGTTCTAAAGTTTGTGAAAGAATTTACGAAAATTATTTTTGAATAACTGAAGGTGTCACCATGTCACCATGTCACCAGGTTAATTAACTTCATTAAAAAATGATGACAACATGACATTTAGACAACATTTACGAAAATTATTTTTGAATAACTGAAGGTGTCACAATGTCACCATGTCACCAGGTTAATTAACTTCATTAAAAAATGATGACAACATGACATTTAGACAACATTTACGAAAATTATTTTTGAATAACTGAAGGTGTCACCATGTCACCATGTCACCAGGTTAATTAACTTCATTAAAAAATGATGACAACATGACATTTAGACAACAGCAACAAAGGAAATTTGATGCAGTACAAAAATAAAGTTAGTTTTAAAATTATTTTTATTTTTTTATTCCTATATAAATGACAGCAACAAACAACAACAGTAACTTTATCATTTCTGATGAAAAAGTTATTGATTCATTAGCTGAGGAATTAGTTACGGCAGAAACTAAAACCCTCAACGAAAGAATTGGTGAAAATAAGATTGATTTACATAACTACCTCAAACATGATGGAGGAAGAGGAAGGAAAACTGGTATGGCTTTATTAGTAAATAAAATTTCAAATTTAACTATTATAGATGTTGATATCAATAAATCCTACAATGATGAACTTAAAGAAACAGTTAGAAAAGACATTCTATCAAAACTTTCGGATAAAGATGTTATCGTTAAAACCGCTTCAGGAGGTCTTCACATTTATTGCAACACTAATTTCTTCTATGCAGTTTCGAACAGAATGATTAAATGTTATTCCTGCAATGATTATGATATCGATATCATGACTTCAATGGATGATTCAAAGCGTTCATTAGTGGTTATGGCTGATTCAAGAGTTCGCAAGAATGCAACAGAACCAATCAATACATACTCATTCATTCGTGGAAGTTATGATTCAACATTAACTAGAACAGTGAATGATGTATTAAATGATTTGAATATTAAGGTAAGAGTTGAACAGAAGAGCGAAGAAATAAAGAGTATAATGAATGAAAACAAAGATGTAAACATTGACGATAAACTTGCCCAGAGCATAGTTGATGGTATTAGTGATTTTGAAGTACATAATGACGGTGGAAACATGAATTTAGAAAAAGAAGTTACATTATTCACACTGTTTCAAGCTATTAATTCGTTACCTGATCATTTAATTAATGAAGCATACGATAACGTTTATAACTTCTGCAGTTTAACAGAAAATGCAAAAAGTAATTTTGAAAAAGCACGTAGTAGATATGCACATTTAATGACTTCTCCATTTGTTTTAGTGAAGATTCTAAAACTTTATCAAAAGGAATATTATGATGAATACGTTTTGCCTTTATTACATAAGCCAAAAATAACATTTGATATAAAACTTGATGACTCGTTTTTGATAACAGATATTAGACGCAAGGCTGAAAATCATCAGTATAAAAACAGTTCTGAAGTAATTGAGGATTTATCACGTGTAATCCGTTTTGTAGATTGTGGAAACAAATACTTCATTCAGAAAGATTACAATATACACGATAAAATGAATCAAATATCATTCGTTCTTCAATCAGCCATGAAAGAGTCACTCAAAATGATTAAATTATTTAAAGAAGAAGGTAAAACAATAACAGCATGGGACGTACTACTAAATCAATTATCCTCATTAACCGTTAAGGGTGTTTGCTTTAAATCTGATTCTCCAGATGTTTTCTCAACGTTTCAGGGTTATAAATACAACGTTCTTGAAAAACCAGATTACTCAAAAATTGAGATGTTTATGAATTTCATTAAAGAAGTCATATGCGATAATAACGATGAAGTGTATAAATACCTTCTCGGCTGGATTGCATCAATGATTCAACATCCTGGAATCAAGAATGAAACAGCAATTATTTTGAAAGGACTTCAGGGAACAGGTAAAAACAGATTTACAGACATTATTTCTGAACTCCTCGCTGGTTATTCATGTAAAAACATTACTGAAATAAGTGAGCTAACGGGTAATTTCAACTCAGTAGTTGAGAATAAAATGTTTCTTGTACTTAATGAACTCAAGAATGTAGGTGAAGACAGACTCGCAAACTTCAACGCTTTGAAATCAATTATTACGGATAATGAGATTAGAATTAATGAAAAGAATCAACCCAGAAGAACTGCTCAGAACGTTGCAAACTTCGTTTTCGTAACTAACAACGTCTACCCTGTCAAAATTGAAGTTGGAGACAGAAGATATGTAGTTTTAAGGGTTAATGGTAAATTTAAGGGTCAATTTGATTACTTCAAGAATTTAATGAATTCATGCACAAAGGAATTTTATGATAACCTTTTAACATATTTTATGCAATATGACCTTTCATCATTTAACGTACGAATTATACCGATGACTGAAGCCAAACAAGATTTAATCGAGTTATCAACAAATCCTTTAGATGAATGGATAAATACACATTATGATGAATTGTGTGCAGGTATGACGTGTAAAAATGCTCTATTCTGCAAACCATCAGACATGAAAGACAAGAATTTCCAAATGAGCATTAAGGATAAATGTGATAGGAAACAGAGAAGAATAGACGGTAAACAAACGTGGTGTTATGTTTTGAAAGAAGAAATGAAAGGATTATATAAACAGGTTGAACCAAACGATAATGATGATTCATTTACTGACGATGAAATACCTGTAAATGAGCCGCTAAGCGGCGAGACCTGAAGGTCTAGCAGTATAAAGTATGATAGGGATGCGTTAAACACGCCATTTGACCGGGCGTACATTTTTTTGTTCGCCCAAAAATTTCGCCATTTGAGAAATTCAAAAATTAAAAATAAAATCTTAATCTTGATTTTTTTATTTTCGTGATTTTTTTGAAACTTACATAAGCGATGAAATACTTTTTTTAAGTAATCGTTTATTATATATAAATATATCTTAATAAATTTAATTCCTTAAAGTAGAGCGTGTTCAAATTTAAAATCTCATACAATATTTTCTTAATGGCGTATTTTTCTGAGGTCGCCCAAATAAAGGCGAATTCAAAATTGAGAACTCCAAGGCGTATGGCGAGTATTCAAAAAGTACGCCACTTACAAAATATTGAATGTGGATTATCAATTTTTTGGCGTGTTCAATTTCAAATTTTGATATTTATGTTTATTTTATTCAGTATAATGTTAAGAATTAAAATATAAAATTCATAGAATTTTTTCTTTGAAAATATTTTACATTTTTATTAGACCACTCCTAGACTAGTCATCAGGTTATCCTCAGATCATCCTCAGACTACTCCTTATCAGATTACTCATCATCCTCAGACTACTCCTTAGACCCTCCTCATCAGACTACTCCTCAGATCTTCCTCCTGAGACTACTCTTCAGACTACTCCTTAGAGTCCTCCTCATCAGACTAGTCCTGAGACTAGTCCTCAGACTACTCCTGAAACTACTCCTCAGATTATCCGCAGACTCCTCCTCAGATTATCCTCAAACTACTCCTCGGTCTAATCCTCAGACTCCTCCTCAGATTATGCTCAGATTATCCTCAAACTCCTCAGATTATCCTCAGACTACTCCTCAAACTCCTCAGACTACTCCTCAAACTCCTCAGATTATCATCAAACTCCTCAAACTACTTCTCGGTCTAATCCTCAGACTCCTCCTCAGATTATCACTTTACATATATATATCGATAACTAAATAATTACTTATTATACTTTCTTTATTTTTTTTAATTTTAAAATAATATTAATATATCTTTCTACGTTTAATGATGAAAAGAGAAAGAGGAGTAAAAAGAGGAAAGAGAAAAGAAAGAGAGAGAAAAAAAAGAGAAAGAAAGAAAAAAAAGGACGGCGATAATTTTGTATTGTTTTGTTATTCGGCCGAATGGCGGGTACCTTGTACCCGCCATTCGGCCCCAAAAATGGCGTATTATTCTATTTTTAAACGGTCATGGCGTAAAACCGTCGCATCCCTAAGTATGATTTGAATTTATTTTTGCATTAAACCCATGCTGTTGTCAAAATGTCATGTTGTCATCATTTTTTAATGAAGTTAATTAACCTGGTGACACATGGTGACATGGTGACACTGAAAAAAATTAATGAAAACATTAATATTATGGTTATGGTCTTCAGTCGTATAATGAGTAACGTTATGTTTAATCAAAAATTCTGTAATTTCATTACTGAGGTATGCTGAATTGGAGCTCAGGACTTTCAGTCCGTGCGGTACCATGCATAAACTGTCATATAAGGCGGCATATAATCTTCACCCGAGCCTGTTGAATTTGTTGTGAAAGTGTGTGAATGATTTCCTCCTGGTTCAGTTGGTCGAAAAGTCTTTTTTGCTGAATGGTTATAAGCTGGAGATAAAACATCATAGCCAGCTTCATAGTCTGTGTTGTATAATGGGTGGTCTCTTAATGAGTGGATATGGTCGCCAGAAAAGTTTGTAGTTCCTGTGTGCTTATGCGGTGGAAGGTTTGCTTCTAAAATTTTCTTTGAGCCTCCTGTTTGCTTTGAAGAGTTAGCACAATAGAGGAATTTATCTACAATCTGCTGCCATGTACCAAAACCTAAAACACTTGCTGGATTTGTTGAATTCATTGATGTATATATTGAACCAATGGGGTAAATCATCTCAAGAATTGTATTTAATCCATTATGAATATTGAATTTATTATATAATATTGAAACTGGGTGAGAAGTTAAAATTGGTCTTGTCATCAATATTAACGTATTATTTTTGAAAATTGCTTTTCTAACATCTTGAAATTTTGTGATTTCAGACCAGTTTCTTCCATCACTACTGATATTTACTAAATCACCACATCCTAAAGCAATGAAATAACCATCAATATAAAACAAATTTGTAAATCTATAATTTCGAGTATATTTTGGAGTAAATGAATAAACCAATTCCCAACTTGGTGTTTTCTCTGGATCCTGTGAAAAATCCTGTGATAAATAAATATGTCTGTTATAACTTACAGGATATGAATAGACCATATCACCTGAAACAAGAACACAAACATTCGAAGCATAACATAAAGCTTCAATGTCTCCATCAGCTTGAAAAATTTGTTCAAAACGACCAAATGGTATTGAATATGATCTATAAATTTTATCATTTTGTAGGATAAAATACATGCTGTTAATGTAATACCATTTACTTGTATAATCAATTTTCAAATCTGATGACATCATACTAAACATATAATAATTTATCCCATCCTCACTAATGAAAATTTGATTGACTTCATAAATTAGTACCCATTTATTATTAACACATCTAATAGGATTATTTGGATATTTAAATTTAGCATCTTGATTTAAATTACATTTGAACCATTGGATACAATCAAATGAATAAAAAGGGCAAAAATCATCTCCAACCGTTATCATTCCCATAAATTTACCGTTATTATATTCAACATATAAAATTCTTGGATTAATGATTGGCTCTCGTGTATCAGGATTCAAAACAGATGGAGTAAATGATTCATAGTTTTTAAAATCATTTGTTTTAAAATAATAAAGCACTCCAGCTGTATAAAATAAATACGTGGTCACTCCATCGAAACATAACCATTCAATAGATTGAAATGTTTTATCTGATGATTTTATAAAATTTAAAAATGGTGGAGTAAAATAGACATCTGATTGTTTTATTTCTTCATTAACAAATGATATATCAGCTTTTTTTGCTAACTCAGTATTAATGAATGAAATAACTTTTCCTTATCTGCTTTCTTCATTAACTCATTGTTAACATATGTTTTATCTGCTTTAAGGTCTAAACATCCTGAAACCCATTCTGTATCAGCTTTAACTTTAAAAGTCTCCGATGTCCATTCATGATACCCTTCAACCCTTTCTTTAATTTCATTATCTTTTTCATCAACATAAACCAAATTTGCTTTCTTCATTAATTCAGTATTAACGTATTCCTTATCTGCTTTCTTCATTAACTCACTATCCACATATTCCTTATCCACCTTCTTCATTATGTCATTTAGGAAACCTTCTATGAATTCCTCATTTAAATTAAATCTTCCAATCTTCATAATTTTAGGAAATGCATTTAATGCGTAATATCTCTGTTCTTCTGGTGGAATTGATGTTATATCATCCGTTATTCCTTTAATTTTTGAATTCATAAATAAAATTTCTTTTATATTTGATATCACTGCACCACCTTTGCAAACGAATTCAAAATGGTCATTTTTCAATACTATCTCCAAATCTCCATATTTCAACCTTTGCGTTTGTTCTGCCGTCTTTGAATTATATGCATATGCGGCGTATGTAATGGTCTGAAGGACCTGGGTGCTTTGCGCCTTAAGTTGCTGTTGTTTAATCATTTATTACGATTTAAAAATAAATATTTAATCCGTTATCTCATCAGCTATTTTTTCTATTTGAAATTGCCATAATATTTCATTCATAAATTCTAAATCACAATCAAATAAGTCAGTTATTCTAAATTTAATATTTGATAAATCTTTTGAATGAAGAATAAATGAATTCCCGGATAATTGAAACGGATATGATAAAGAAAATGTGTTTAAGTTGATGGATAAAATGTTTTGTATTGATGGGTAAGAGTTAGGGTCAAATGTTTGGTGTGAAAATCTCATTGGGGTATTAACTTTATCACATTTGATTAAAATGAAATTGGAACCAGTGTCAGAATACAAAACATCCCCAACATCTTTTTCAAAATTTAATATCCCCAACAATGAACGAAGACGAGGAGTACAAAATTTAATTTTCAGCGGAAATTTAATAAGGTTATTTATTTCATCAAGTTCAAAAAGTTTATCAGGTTTTGATTTAAAATTTTCTTCATACCATACGATAAATGATTCGTTTAAATAACTTAAAATCATGTTAATATTCCATTTCGCTATCACATTATTTATATACATATTATACGTTTTTTCATGGTCATCTTTAATAAATGATATATAATCTGAAGGGTCTAAAAGAATGGGATTAAATTTACCACTCACAGAAACGAGAGTAACATTATAAATTCCGCTAACTGTTAAATTTAATTCACAGTTATTATTCGAAATAATATTGATAATTGACATTTTTATTACGATTAAAAATATGGTAAAGCGTTATTTTCCAGTGATAAATAAAACTAGAATAAGATTACCTCAAGAATTCATAAATTCAACGAATAAGAAATTCATTCATGTTATAAATTTTAGTGTTTTCAGAAAATATGAGCCAGTGTCATATTCATCAACAGGTTATATTTCACTTCATTCAAATTTAGTTCAATCAAACCCATATAATGACCATTTCATAAGATTTTCAGATGGTATTAAAAATGTAATTGATAGATTAAAATATGAACAGATTGACAATATCGAATTTTTGGAATTTTGGTTTAAATATCCCGATGCAAAAAAGATTGAAGTTAAAGATAAAGCTGATATTATAACAAAAACAATTACAATGACCGATCCGGATAGTGGGGAACAAAAAGAAATAAAACAAACGATAGAAACTGGTGAAAGGTCAATTATTATTGATTATGATTCAAAGGATTATTATTCGATAATGTTAATGCTTGAATATTAAATAGCCTTAACAAAGAATTTTTCAAGTGATATTTTATATTCATCAACTATTTTATTATAAATATCATTATAAGTTAAATGAAGTTCAGTTGTTGTTCCATTCTTTGATATCTTAATTGTGCTAATATCCTTTATAGGATTTATTTTTGCAACTGTTCCGCAGCATGAAACATCATCATCTATGAAAAATTGAATCTTAACGTCTGAATCTTGAACATCACAAAGAATGGCGATAATGTGAATTAATGATTCATAAGGTAAAATAATTAAACCAGATTGATCAATTAAATTTATTATTGAATCATAATTATTAATTATTATATCACGGTAAATTTTCATTAATTCAGAATTAATGTCTATTTTATATGGGTTATCAAATGGTGCTGGGTATGTTGGATAAGTGGGAATTTCAACAGGTTCTTTACTGGGTTCAGATAAAATGATTGGGTCTCCATCTTCTTTATTTTGCTCCTCCTCCTTTTTCGGTAAGTTATGAGTTAATAAATTTGGTTGAGTTGCTGACCTTGTTAATTCAGGGCTAACATTAACTTTAACATTTTGAATAATTCGTGATTTATCATCATTTACGTTATAACCAACCGTAATCTCTGCTTTTGCGTTAGTGTTCTTTTGACTAGTGAAACGTCTTCTCATTTATAATCGAATAAAAAAATATATTTAAACTTTTATTTTGCTGGAAGTTTTGAATCTATTATTCCCTGTATTTGTTCTTGAAGATGATTTTTAGCTGTTTCATTGTAATTAATAGACCTAATATATTCATTAATTGCATTCTTATAATCATCTGATTTCTCAAATTTTCTTTTATCTGATTCCTTAACTAAATCATAAGTTAAACCTCGTTGCTGATATAATGGTTTCTTAATTAAATCTTTGAATGCTTGAGATAAAGCACCTGATGCAATTCTTGCTACTATAATTGGTTGGAATTGCTGTTTAAGTTCATCTTTAACATTTGCGAAAACTGGATCGAATAAAGCAACTTTAAAGAATTTCTTAGCTGAAATTTCAGGTCTAATATTTGCATATTGACCATCAAACTGGTTAGAATATCGTGGTAATCCATCCGGTCCCTCTTCAATAGCATTTAATTCTTCATTGAAATAAGAATATGGATTATAACGGTATGAATTAATTGGACCATCTTTACCTTCTCCAATGTATTGTTTAACAGCTTTTCCATTTTCATCAAATTGTATAGGATAACGTTCATTATATGCTTTACGTTTAGGATAATCAGTTATAGTTAATTTATAACCATTTATGACTTTAATATTACCTTGACCATCAGTAACGAAAACTTCATTTATACCATCAGGTTTTCCATTTGGACCCGTAATGTCTGCTTCGTGTGCTTCCCAATTTGGACTTGACGTTTGGCATATGCTTGAGCTTTTGGTAATGTTAAAACGTTTCTCATTTGTTTAACATCTTTTTGAAGACCAGCAACAATATGAACTAATTCTTTCATTCCATCAGGAACTTTCATAGTTCTATTATATGCACCCTTTTTGTTTGTTCCTTGTTTTAATGGAACCTGTAGAAAATTTGCTATTTCTGTCATGTTTAATTATAAATAAAAAATAAAAATTAATTATAAAAAGTTAATCAAATTTAACACCTCCTTTATTTAAATCAACTATTATCTTCCATGTTCACCTAATTGCTGATATTGTGTGTAAAGTTCATTAATGCTCATTGGTAAATTCACTTGATAAAGCATAACGTTCAACTGTTGACGACTAAACCCACTGAAAATGAAAAGGGTTGATAGATTTGATTTAATGTTTGTGCTTAATGCTTTGAAGTATTGAACAGCCATGAAGAATGAACACTGAATGTGTCGACATTGAGTTAATAATGATTAAAATATGATTTCTCATTTGTTATTAGTTTTGATTTCACTGCATCATCTAGAAAAATTAGTGAATGCAAAAATTCTCTATCAAAATTTGAAATAGAAAGTGTTTCAAATAATTCATCCCGTTGTTTATCAATAATTTTATTCTCTAATCCTTGTTCTTGATTGTATTATATAATTCTTTATACATTAAAAAGTTTTTTTAAATAATCTTCTGCTTCTTCTTGTGATAAATAAATAATTGGAATTTTGATTAAATGCTTTAAAGATTCAAATGTATCATCTGAAGGTGAACCTGAACGGTTGATATAAATTAACACATGTGAATAGGGGGAAGTGTTAGCAATAATGATAATTTGTTTTAATATCGTTAATGTTTTACCTTTATTTTGTTTACCAATTGCTGCAGTGATTGAATTTAAGTAACATTCAGAATATGGAATTTTCATTAATTTTTCCTTAGATAGAGCATTTTATTATCACCCAATGCTTCATTAATCATATCATCTATGTATGTATTATATACTCCGCTAATTCTTCATAAGGGGTGGATGAATTTAAATCCATTTAATCAAAAATAAATTTATAATTTTAAACATTTCTATTCATCAATATTTCATCATATGAACTTCTATACTGTGGTGGTGTACCTGTTGATGATATTTCAAACCTTCATCCGGTGTCCATGTCCAATATGTAGTCCTAGTAAACCAAACCTGAGGAGGATT